TCAGATCCGAATGGATCTTCTGGAATCGGCGCTTCGCACGCTTGCTTGAAGCCGGGAACGGCTCAAGCGTCATCTTCCCTTGCGCGCATCCGCGGCACAAAGGTTCATGTTTGGGAATTTCCACCATAGGTGGGAAGTTCGTGGTATGCTTTTTTGGCTCGTTTGAGCACTTCCCGCGATGGATGACCAAAGCGTTTATGCATGACCTCGTAATCGACAGGTGGTCCGGAGACCTTCTGCACTTCGATCGGCGATCCGTTGGAGTTCTTTACAGAGACCCAATAAATCGTGTCGTCCGGATGAAGTGGATGACCCTTAATGAGATTTCTCCCATCAGAATCATTGATTCCCATAGATAAGGAATCACCCCAAATAGTAGTTTTGGGTTGACTCAAGAAAGTTCCCGTAGAGAACAATCGAGTCGAAAGGTTGGGTATGTGATATACTGGTTCGATGATAGATTCTACGTCTCGATCGTTACCATCAGCACCTTTGATAGTGTGAATTACTCGAAGTTTTCCAATTCCTTTTATGGACAGGGTAGTACCCTTGGAAGCGGTGTTAACCGATGGACTGTTCTTAACGACTTTGTAGTCGAACAAGTCATCTTTCGAGGGGGTAACGTGCATTGATGCCCCAGAGTCCATCATCCAATGAATGAATGTCTCAAATTTCTTACAGGAAGCGCATTGCGCATTTTTACACTTGGACATGTTCGAAGAATCGTTGATCGAAACAAGAGAGTTGATTGCACAGCATAACTCTAGGTATACATCATCGTCAAGCTATCAAAATCTAATTGAAGAGGCTGTGGAGGCGATGAGTTAGCCAAGTGTTTCCTGGTAGAAACGAGAGGGACGTACTTATCGTCGTCGAAATGCCCGGTCCTCAGAGCGTCCCAGTCTGGTAGGTAGACGGATGGTTTTGCATCTGAAAGGCGATTTGATCCATTACGATCTGGAGATTCGCCTCCCATCCCGTCGTCGGAGCCCCAGTCGGAGACTTCGTCGTTGGGGTGGAGCGGGTCCTCCAGTTCTCCGTCTCGGATCCTCTCCCAGACCGTCTTGGGGGCGCCGAATAGCGAGGGGTTCCTCGCCTTCGTCGCCAAGGGAGACGCTGTCGTCGTCTTCCCCCAAGGCGTCGGTGTCAGAGAGTCCGTCCAGTGCTTGTGAGCCGTCCCCTTCCATAGGCAGTCCAGATTGACACACCATGGTTGGTTGGGGAACGTCGACCCCTTCTCCAGATCCACCGTGTGCCAGTGGGGGAGATGGGAGTCGGTGCAGAGGCGAGCTGGCCTCATGCACCTCAGGCTGTTCGGAGGGCTCGAGCGATCTTTGACGTTTGGAGGGCCTGGGGGAACTGATGCGGTCAATAAGTGCTCGTTTCCGCTTGTCCGCCTCCTCGAATGATTTGAGGTGACGGGCGGTTTTTTGGTAGATCGAGCTTACCGCAGTTCTTCCTGGCGCGTTCCACATCGGGATAGCACGAGGTCTCCGTAGACGGAGCGTCCTTGGCTTTAGCAGCCGAGGTGGGGAGATGGGTAGATGGAGTTAGGACGGGACGTTGGACGATAGATGGTCCGGTCTTCACGAATGAGAGGACCGAGACCTTGGGCCTGGGGAGGCACATGCTCCTGAGGAGCGAGAGAGACGAGGTGGTCACCTAAGAAGGCGGCCTGTACCATGTGCGAGCTATGGACCTTGCGACTTCCTTTCCTTCTCCTTCTTCTTGTTGCCACCCTTGGATCCGCGCTTCTTCCCCTTGTTCTGGGAAGAACCCGAGTTTGGTTACTCGAGTTGCCGGAATCCTTGTGCTGCCCTGTTGCTGCTGGCGGAAGTTAGGGTTTCCCCCTTTCCTCTTGATACCAGTGAACCTTGTTGAGGGTAGCCGGGTTGGCCACGCGATCGTACTCGGCCGTGATGGCCTTGACGACGGCGTCGAAGGTGAGATCCTCCTTTTTGTTGTTAAGGAGGATGGCGATGGTGTTTATCGTACTTGGAAGGGATGCTGCTGATCAAGATCATCGCCTCGATGAACGGGTCGATCTTGACCTCGTTCTGGGCGAGCTGGCCAAGATGGTTTTGGAGCTCAGCGATCGCGGGGCGAGGATCTCCGTTCCCGATACGGAACTGGATCGCAAGCTTGAAGTACGCGAAGATCGCCGCGAGTCCAGGGGACCCGTAAAGCTCCTTGAGACCGTCCCATAACGCACTCAACGTGTTCGCACCAGAGCTTGGGCACACACGTTTTTGTTCATGCGAAGAAGGAGGGCTCCCATGGCCTGATCATCGTCCTCGTCCCACTTCTTGATCTTTCTCGTCCTGAGCCAGCTTTTCAAGCGGCGGTGGCCTCGTAGGGGAGATCGAGGGGACGTTCGCCGTTGATATACAACGCGAGACGTTGCATCTTGAGGTACTGCTCCGCACGCATGGCCCAATCAATGTAGTTGGTACCATCGAGCATGGGGACGTTGTTGAGAGCGTTGGAAGACATGTTAGATTGATAAGATCTGTCAGATCAAAGGTTCGTCAGCAACGTATATCACAAATCAAAGAAAGCGGCCATAACAGCGCGTTCTTTGCCCCATTCTGCAGCCATTACAGCGCAGATCTCTGCTGCCATAACAGCGCAGAGTAAAGGCATAGGTTCGGCCTATCAGCCACTTGGTTAGACGTGCATAGTTCGCAGCGGTTAAGCGCAGACTCGTAGCAGTCTATGGAGGCAGCCATTACAGCGCCAACCAAGTTTGTAGTGCAGCCATTACAGCGCGTTCTACAGAGCTTCGGGGGCTCATAACCTGAAGAACACTACTGCGACTAGCAAGTAGGTCTTACCAAGTAGCTTGTAGGCTTAGTTGGTAGGTTAAAGTGATAGCGATTGAGGTAGCTACGAGCGTCCTTATATACATATTGCGTGTACTAATAATAGAGCAGTGTAAGGACTGAGTAAGCAGTCACATGCGTGACAAGTAATCGTATGAGTCAGTATGAGTCGGTAAGATGATAGAATGACGAATACTGTAGATATCGCATAGCCTCATAAGAATATATCTAGGAGAGTCCGAGTCGGATAGTCGCGAGAGTCGCGAGTCGAATCTAATCTACATAAGATAAGATCAACAAAACCCTTCAACAGAACGTGCACTGTGAGTGGGAATAGTTCAATAGAGAACACCCCACTCACACTATATGTCATGACACAGTCAGCCCCCTAGCCCCTATTTACACGCCCCCTATTTTCGCTCGCGTCCACCTTTTGATCTCCCATCCACCCTTTCCAGCATCCAGCACCTATCTTTTTCATTTATCCGTCTCGGCATGGACACTTTTCTATTGGCACTGCCTCGTTTCTCCTTTCCTATTCTGCTCTGCCATACAGGCGCTGCCTTATGCGCTGCCTTTGATATTCTATTCATTCGTTCACCCTGACTCCTTTCTATTAATATCACGCTTCTACGCGCTGCCTTACGCAGCTTCTATCAGCCTTGGTCAGCGCTTCACTGTTCTTCGCGCTGCCCTACGCAGCATCGCGCAACCCCGCCGCCATTCTTCACCATCGTGTCACTATCCTTCACCATTCTGACACCATCGTTTCACCCATTCTTTGCCCCATCCTCGCTTACTCGTACTTCAAACTCATCGCGGCTACGCTCATGTCTTGTAGGAGTATATAAGCTAGGTAGTTCGCTCTGTATTTCCTCAGCTTGACCTCCTCGTCAACTACATCACTTAACTCGCAACCCAACCGCTCTGCTCTAAGCCTTCCGCTCTGCTCAGTATTTGTGGCTATTCCCCCTTATATTTGAGTCAGTCGCTTCACATCTTATCTAGTCGTCGCTGACCACACTTTGAGTCTCATCGCTCGTCAATCAGACACCTTGTTGGTGTCCTCCGTCATCGCTTTGATATAGTGCCGCGTACTTCGCGACACTATATACATATCTACCCCAAAGGAATGTCCATATAGGGAAAGAACAATAGTGTATCTGTGCAGGGTAAATAGAAGCTAGAGAACAATAAGAAAGAGAGAAGTGGAATTGATGCAACAAGTAAACATTTTGAAAGTAGTGTCCCTTGTACTAATCGTAACCGTAGAAACAACGATGGTAAGTATTGTATTTCTAACAAGAAATTGGAGCACAGGGAGGGCCCAAAATTTCCTAGACAAGCTCATCTGTAATCATAAGCACCAAAATATGCATGGGAGTGAAGGAGCAATGGCAGGAAGGGTAATTAAAGTTGGCAAGCTTGTCTGAGAGAGTCATTTTTTTTTTAGAAGAGGTCAATGAGTATCTCTAAAGAGTCCAAGTTCTTGAAATATGGGGCTTAAGATGCATATATCCTCAAGTGATCATAATTTGACTAAGCAACACATTTTGACTTTATGTAAGAAACTAGGTGAAGACCTGGGCATTTGCCAGGGGAGGGGAGGAGTTATGGATATTTGTCAGATGGAATGTTTTTGTTATTACTGAAATGTTTTGAACAATGTGTTTATGAGATTCACCATGTACTTGAAATCAGAACATAATCAGGGCTTATGTGAGGGGGTCAGCATTACTGGCTTGTGTTGCCTTAGGAAGAATTCAAAAACCTCCACCAACATGGGTAAGGTGTAGCATTTGAGTTGGCATGATTGCAGCTGCTTTGGCAGCTGTATTGCATACTCTGGAGGCAATTAAATCGTCAAAAATTTCAAACTTTCAAGTCTTGAAGGTATACAAATAAATGTCAAAAAAGATTACTTGGATTCAAAGGCCTATGGACTGATAGAACATCTCAGGTGTGGCATCAAACAGTCTGATTCAAAGGTATCTGTTCAGATGTATCTCTCTCAAATGTATGTTTTGAATTGTGTTTGAAATCTATCTGACCATCCTTCTTTAGTATAAAATAAACATACTATCCCAACAATACTGTTTGAAATTTTGAAATACAAAGCTTGCTAGAAACCAAGAAATAAATGAGGACATCACCAGAGACAACCATCCCCAAAATAATTGCCCCCTGCAAGGCTCGAACTTGGCGACCCTCAGGATTACCCATGTTAAACACGGTCATACTCAACATATGAGACCTGCGCTCTAGCCAACTGAGCCAAGGAGGCACCTGTATGTGATAAAGCTATGTGCTCCTTCACGGCAAACAGACACCGGTCCCGAAGTCGCGATTGATGAAGACTCTAGCTTGAACTGCAAACCACGAGACGGCCGTCCCCTCGTATCCTATGCTGAGATAACTCCTCCCATACGAAACACCCGAGCCACCTTCACAAACGCCTCCAAGAAGCGCAAGAAAGCCTCGTATCAAACAAAGCCCAATTGAACTCTTCTGGCACACGCAACCAATCGCCGAATTCGAAGAGAGTCGCCAACTAACGCACGAAGAAATCTGGGATGATTCGGCTCTCATTAGTGCTGGGAATGCAGCAACAGAGGAGTATGAAGCTTATCACGGCACTGATAAAATCATGGAAGGACCAGCCTCTAACGAAATCAGCCTTGTAAGTTGGCTCATCCTTTCTTCCTTCTTTCGTCCCCTGCAGTCGCGTGCTCAAGACCTTTGTAGGTGGTATATGTCCCTCCCACTGCGAACACGCAGAGTTTATACAGATGAACAGGATGCAATGGTGAAAGAAGAGGAAGGACTTCGAGATAGACGCGACGAAGAGGAGCGAAGCTATGGCGCAACACAAGAGCCTGCAGTGGCACTCAACGGACCTCCGGCGCCGCCCCAGGATTATGCGTCGGGTCGGCCCAGGGGGATCAGCGCCTTATGGCTAGTCAGGACGAAGCATTCTCGAGAGCTTTGAACGCAATGTATTGGGGAGGATATTGGACTGCCGTTTATCATGTACGTTCGTTGCATTTCGACAGACGCCTGACACTACCCTCTCCATAGTGTCAACGAAGGCAGGCTTCGTCTCAAGGGTTCAGCCCTTCCCCGCCCAGGATGTTCAGCAAGAGGTCGAAGAGAACGATGAGGAGGTCATGCAGAGGTCCAAGCCAATACCGACGCTGATGGCGACGATATTGGCGAGTTCATATCGACTCAAAGGTTAGCACATTATTTGCCCGGTGAGCTCACCCGCTTGTCTATCTTGAAGGAACGAGAGAAGAAATCATATTCGTCTAAATCTTGAATACAAAAGCTACAAAGCAATCTCGACGTCAAGTCTAGCAAGGTACGAGTAGACATCTGGGGACATGCGATATTTGAGGATACCAGCAAACACCATGAGCGAACGTGACTTTTTCCTGACGTTCGACAGAGTCTGTATAGGTCCCTTCTCGTTAGCTAAGTCACGATCCCATGGACTTTTCCGACTCACAATCTTGGCGTGTCGTATCTGCCATTGACGCATTCTTTGCTCGTTGATGCACACCTGCAAGGGTGTCCATCGTCAATGTTAGGTAAGTCTGGCAAATTCCTCTGAAGGCTCTGGTGCAAATCCTTGAACTCCTCTGCCCTTCTCGTAGTCTTCGCGATGTCTCCAGCGAGAGGGATGAGCTCTGTGCTTTCCATGATCTGGGTGCGCTGTCGTCAGACCAAACCCTCTTCTCCATTCGCAGCAACAGAAACCCACCTCCAAGGCAACGTCGAACTTGCCAGCGTTCTTCGCATCTAATGCGTTCCCGAATCTTGAGCAGCTTGATGACTGCATCCCGATCCTTCCCAACGGCCCTATTGCTCCTCTCATATGCCTCAAAATCTCGACCGCAGTCTTCTCGATTCCCCTCGCCCTTCTCGTCAAGACTCGTCTGAGCAACGGTTTTACCAAGAGCATTGGCAAGACATGAAACCACTGTTGAGTAATCACCCGCAAGGTTGTACAGTTTGATAGCTTCAGAAATGCGGGTCGTTGTCCTCTGAAGTCCGCGCAGCGTGAATAAGGATCTCCTGGTTGTACTCCTTGAGATCGTGGAGATGAAGCAAGGAGGCGCCCTGTTCAATAATACCGCTCTGCACAACGCAATCAGAACGTTCCACAGATGAGAGGCATCGACATACGCACATATCGGGATCCGTCAGACCTAAATCCTCCAACGAGTTCTTCCCACCCAGCCCACTGTTCGCGATGACAATATCTTCCTCGTAGCCTCCCAGGCAGCCTGGGATCTGTTCCTTTCCAACGCCAGCCGGCTGGTCGTGCGAGAGACCCGATGCAGTTAACGTACTGCAACGCCTCCTTGGGATCCATCCGCGCGAATTGACGAACGTATCTCCAGATGAGAGTTGAGAGGCTGAGAGCAGGTGGCCCAGTGGGCGAGAGTGACACTGAAAGCATGTCAGCCATACCATAGATTTGTGATCGTTTACACTTACGAGGGGTCATATCAGAGGTCTCTGTCCTGGGGGGTATTCTGAGCAACCCGTGGTTATGCCAGCGCAATAGCGAGATGAACGGCTTCGATCTCTGTCTCGGGGTGATCCCACAACGCAGCGACGGCCTTGAAACTGGTCAACTCGAAGCCCCACAAACAGTTCAGGCACATACCCTCTCGAACTGGCCACACCATAAGCAATACACCAGCCCACACCCCTCTCTTCGGATTGGGTTGATTGGCTGGTCCATCGAAGTGCCGCTCCCCATACCCAAGCAAAACCTCTGTCAGACCCCTCAGCCCTCCGTTTTCCTCTTCGTCCAACTGGGCATCGCATGAGAACAACATGATTCCCCAATAGTCAGCCTTTACTCACCATGGCAAACTGGAACCACAAACCAGTCTTCGGTAGTGGTCGTCAACTGTGCAACGCTCCTCCTACCGGGCTCAATCTTGCCAATCAGTTTGAATAGCGCAAGCTTGAACGGAATCCACGGTTGATGAGTGCAACATATGGGCATTGTAGCTTGCTTGGAGGTTGTCACGTTGTGCTTTAGGGACTCTAAACGTCAATGTTAGTGAGAGGATTCAAGGCTTCCTTGCTAACTGCACGCACTTGCGGTCTGGTGATTCGACCCATGTGCGGAGGAAGTGGATGAAGCTGGGTTCACGGTGGTCCAAGGCTTGCTGGTACTGCTGAGCCTCCTTAAGAGCCTCCTGGGCATGCCCTGTTCGAACAAGGTAGAAGAGCTTGGCCCAGAGTGGTGTGCCAGCAATAAGCTGCAGCGGTTCCGTCAGACCACATCTCGTGCCTTAGAAAGAAGACACATACCTCAATTCGGTCTGCCCATTCTCCATCCCTGTAATACCTGACCGACACAAACGCCCTCACTTTATTCGACACACTGGGATCGCCTCCCAATCTCGCTTCAGCTGGTCTAGCGTGCACAGTCTTCTCCAATATTTCCCAGTACTGCTCTTCGAGCGCCTCCCTTGAGCCTTTGGCAATCTGCTGGCGGAGCCCAACCGCCTCCTTTGATTCAGGATTGCCAAGATAGACACGAGCCCACTTGCGTTCAAAGAGGGGTGTGTTGAGGATATGGGCCCCAGCGTGTTCGATGGAGGCAGCGCGTGGGGCTCCGTGGTGATTTTAGAAAGAACGTGGAAGTTGAGGAGCATTTGTGTGCCTCGGGACTGTGACAAAAATCAACGTGCGCTACATGGGGGTTATAGGAAGGTAAACGCACGTCGGTGGCAAGAGACTGTGCCGCTTCCATTAGAGAGTGAACAATAGGGAAGGACGTGCCACGAAGCCGTGCAGAGTTGAGTTCAGTGACAACTCGGTCATAGGCCATCATCTTGCTCTGCATTTGCAGCGATACATTCGGCCCAACACTTGCCTAAACCAATCGTTCAGCACTACACATATGCCACAAACAACCAAGGGCATTTACCATGAGATTGTTCCTCTGGTTGGTGCTGCTCCTCAAATCGGACACGGCACGATTATCCACGCCGCTCACTTTGCCCCCGAGTTCTTCGAACACTCGCTTCTTTTTGAGGTCCCAGTCGCGTTGACATCGTTCTTCCAAAACCCTGTAGAACTCTTCCTGCGTTTCTTCCTGCCCTCTTCAATGGTCGAAATGAGGTTTTGTTCATGGGCGACGCGAAGGTATCCGGCAACATCTGTGTCTTGAAGGGGTTGCAAAGGCGAGAAAGTGGTTGCAGGGTTCAAATGGGCAATAGAGTTGGACAATGCAGAGACATCGACATGGGCTTGTGCCAATAGATAGTTCCTAGTGTCTTTCAGTTTCAAGGACCTTAAACGAACCAAAGTCACGCTTACGCTCTGTCTGCATCCGCTGAGGTCCCAGGTTGACGCGAAACAAGGCGCCTGGACAGAGCCTCAATCTGGTCAAGACTAAGATTCACAGAAGGAAGGTCAGGACGCGATAGATGCGACGTGAGTTCCTTGGACGCTGTCAGCAACGACGAGAGGTCAGCAGCGGACATGATGATGATCGTTGGTGGAAGAGGGCAGTTGCGCACGCGTCTTGATCCCGACCCATAACATGGACCAGAACATATTCACTCTCCCAGCTTACATTCCCCCAGCTCTCCCAGTCCAGGCAGAGCCATATGACAACCACAGGGACAATGGGACTCCCCTCATTATAGACAATGGCTCAACAACACTTCGCTGGGGTTTTGCAACATCCGAGGCGCCCTTCTCTGGCCCAAACGCTATATCCAAGTACAAGGAACGGCGAACGAACAAGCCTCTCTTGCTCTTTGGAGAAGGTATAGATACAGAAAGTGGGGCCAGGTCCCAGGCTCGCACACCATGGGAGGGCGATATCCTGCTCAACTTTGACGCCCTGGTAAACGCTCATCTCACCAGTGCCCAGGATCCATCCTCATAATGCTTTCATGAGACTTAGGAAAATGCCCTGGACTATACCTTTGTACACCTAGGAATCGACACACCCCTGTGAACCATCCGGTCCTCATGACTGAGAGGCTGGCCACACCCATCCATTCACGATCTCGTTCGTTTCCCGTCCTCGTTGCTCGCCAGAAGCCCCTAACTGAGCCTTGTAGTTACCGCCGAACTCATGTTTGAGCTCTACTCGGTCCCATCTCTTGCATTCGCGGTCGATGGTCTCATGTCCTTCTACCATAACCACCGTCCTACAGCAGCCAACGTGCCGTTTACCTCAGATGGCCTCGTGCTATCCTTCAACACCGCTTCCACCTCGATCATGCCCATGCTTAACGGCAA